CAAGATACCACCAAGATACAGAAATGTGAAAACATGTTTAATATGATTTAATGTGATATTATTTAATTTAAAGAAAAGTTTTCACTGATCCAACTGCTTTTACACTTTATGGGTTTTATCATAAACTGTAAAACCAACAAAAGGAAATGAGTTCTGTCTTATTAAAATTTACTGAGCCAACGATAAACCCAAATTCTCACTGTGATGAGAATATTGTAACGATAAACGATCGGAGAGAATAACTTTAACCTCGTCTCCAAACATTGAACTGCTTTTGTATTTCTGAGTGAATGTAAACATAGTTTCCTGCTGGGACAGGCATCTGCTTCATTCTCGGCACAGGAAGGACACACACACACACACACACACACACACACACACACACACACACACACACACACACACACACACACACACACACACACACACACACACACACACACACACACTGGGAACAGAATCATCTGTGCAGAAACAGAACTGGACCATGAAGATGCAGATAACATCTAATAAATGTGTTTTCCTCTGTTGCCGAGGAGGAATCCACTGGTTGGCCCTATACTGGTTGGCCCTCTACTGGTGGGCCCCTATACTGGTTGGCCCTCTACTGGTTGGCCCTCTACTGGTGGGCCCCTATACTGGTGGGCCCCTATACTGGTTGGCCCCTATACTGGTTGGCCCTCTACTGGTGGGCCCCTATACTGGTTGGCCCTCTACTGGTTGGCCCTCTACTGGTGGGCCCCTATACTGGTGGGCCCCTATTCTGGTTGGCCCTCTACTGGTTGGCCCTCTACTGGTGGGCCCTCTACTGGTTGGCCCTCTACTGGTTGGCCCCCATACTGGTGGGCCCCTATACTGGTTGGCCCCTATTCTGGTTGGCCCCTATTCTGGTTGGCCCTATACTGGTTGGCCCCTATACTCATGGGCTCCTATACTGGTTGGCCACTATACTGGTTGGCCCTCTACTGGTTGGCCCTCTACTGGTGGGCCCCTATACTGGTTGGCCCCTATACTGGTGGGCCCTCTACTGGTGGGCCCCTATACTGGTTGGCCCTCTACTGGTGGGCCCTCTACTGGTTGGCCCTCTACTGGTTGGCCCCCATACTGGTGGGCCCCTATACTGGTTGGCCCCTATACTGGTTGGCCCCTATTCTGGTTGGCCCTCTACTGGTGGGCCCTCTACTGGTGGGCCCCTATACTGGTTGGCCCCTATTCTGGTTGGCCCTCTATTGGTGGGCACCTATACTGGTGGGCCCCTATACTGGTGGGCCCTCTACTGGTGGGCCCCTATTCTGGTGGCCCCTATACTGGTTGGCCCTCTACTGGTGGGCCCCTATACTGGTTGGCCCTCTACTGGTGGGCCCCTATACTGGTGGGCCCTATACTGGTTGGCCTTCTACTGGTGGGCCCCTATTCTGGTGGCCCTTATACTGGTTGGCCCTCTACTGGTTGGCCCTCTACTGGTGGGCCCCTATACTGGTTGGCCCCTCTACTGGTGGGCCCCTATACTGGTTGGCCCTCTACTGGTTGGCCCTCTACTGGTGGGCCCCTATTCTGGTGGCCCCTATACTGGTTGGCCTTCTACTGGTGGGCCCCTATTCTGGTGGCCCCTATACTGGTTGGCCTTCTACTGGTGGGCCCCTATTCTGGTGGCCCTTATACTGGTTGGCCCTCTACTGGTGGGCCCCTATACTGGTTGGCCCCTATACTGGTTGGCCCTATACTGGTGGGCCCCTATACTGGTGGCCCCTATACTGGTTGGCCTTCTACTGGTGGGCCCCTATTCTGGTGGCCCCTATACTGGTGGGCCCTCTACTGGTGGGCCCCTATACTGGTTGGCCCCTATACTGGTGGGCCCTCTACAGGTGGGCCCCACTGTTCCCGGAGGGTCAACCCGGTTAGCTGCTCCGTTTGGGCTGATGGTTCTGGTGCCGACCCCGGGCTCTAATCGTTCTGGGTTTTAGGTTTAGTTTGTTGGTTAGTTTGTTTTCAGAGCCTATTTGTTAGTTTTTATTAGTTACTATTAGTTAAATATTAACTATTAGTTCTAGTTGTAGTTTTAGTTTTTTCGTACTAAATTAACCGAAGTTTTGTGATTATTAATACATATATTAGGTGATAAAGAAAATACAATTTTCATGAGATGTATTCAGTCATTATGTAATAACCACCTGACTCCAGTGGTCGGCCATTTTGTAGCTTAGCCGCCAGGAGCAGCACGGACGTAAACTGCTGAAGAAAACAGTTCCACATGAAAAGGCTAATAAATAGATGTAAAAAGAAAGTATATTATATTTATACATTAATTTTTAGTTTTTCCCATTAATTATGGTTTTTATTTATTCCAGTTAACTAAAATGTTTTAATCATTCCTTGAGTTTAACTATAACTATCACTTTACAGTCAGGCTCTCTTATAGACGGCTACTAAATAGTTTATAGAAACAGTTTGTTAATAATTAATAACTGTTTGTACAGGTTGAGTAGTTTATGGCTGTTTGTTTCGTCAGTCAGTAAATATTATCAGCTGATAATAATTTCTGTATGTTGAAGTTATTATTAAAAACCTCCAGTTCTTTTCTCTGATCTCTGGTTTTCTAACCGTTTCTCTCATATTGTGTCATATTGGTGAACATGAACCTGACGTCTGCTGTTGGGTTTGTATCATTTCATCTTCTTTCAGTCGTTTCTTCCTCTCAGATGATGGTTGTTTAATAACCGACCAATCCTCAACCACATCTGAGTTATTTCTGTGTCTCTTAAGCAGTTGGTATTTATTGTATCGTATAATTTACCATGAAAAATCCTCATTAGAATTTGATTTATTGTTGTCGCGATAAATGTCCCTTAATTGAGCTTCAGTAAATTTGAATATCAATTTTTTTGCGATGTGGAAAATATGGTTAAATGAATAATCTGTGTGCAGTTCACTGATATTAATCAGGATGATTTCAGATAGGGATGGTTTTCCAGACCAACATTAATGTTTTGTGTGCTGAGGCGAACTTCGTTTCCTGAACTTTTTTTCCTCGTCGTTCTGAAGAAACGAGAATCGTTTAAACAGCTTGGAGACGTTTGTCCTGCACAGGAACATCATGTCTGTTGGATTCAGGGGAAACTGTGTTTCTGCCAGGCTGAGTGTCTTTCTGCATATTTCAGCTGCCAGAAGCTACATGCTACATGCTAATCGGTTTGCTGTGGGCCTGAACTCTTGATTTCCTTTGATTAGGCCCTTTTCTCTCTGAGCCAGAACCGGTTCTGTTTCTGTGGGTTGAGCTGCTAAAGCCTCCATGGTTCTGCTTCCTGTTCATATCTAGCCAAACACAGACCCCGCGGCGTCTGGTCCACTTCCTCCCAGCAGCTCCGGGTCGGTACCAGAACCTCCACAGTTTATCGGCTCCACACTGCAGCCATTGTTGCGTTGCACAGTAAGTCACTGCGGCCATGAATGAGTGTTTGTGGAGGAATCAGATGTTCTTATCAGCACATCTCGCTCCAGCTTCTCCTGCAGGTCAAACGCAGGGCATTCTGGGAAAAACCTCCTAGGACACCAGAGTTGGTTAACAGTCATTAGGAGTATATGACTAATAACACGAGACATTTAACAGTTACCCAGAAATTGAATTATTCTGATGTCATGTGGGAATGATTTTCATAACTCCTCATTAAATTCAGATTTCACAGATAAAAACGTTTCACACTTCAGGAGGATCTATTTATACTCCCAACTGGTCTGAACACAAACATCCACTGACATACGGCTAGCTTAGCTAATATTAGCTTAGCCTGTCTGTGTGTCTCTTAGCTTGGTTTAGCTTAGCCTGATTGAACTTATTGCAGCTCATTTATCCAAACATTAACTTCACTGAGGTTACATTGGCTCAGGTTTATAAATGAACTTTGTTTTGTGTTAGCATATTTTTTTATGTTAGCTTAGCTTAGCTAAATCCAGCTGATATTAAGTTGTAATAATTTAGTTCAGACTGAATGAGGTTTATTTTATGGAAACTGGTTTATTTTATAATAATTAATCTTATGTAACTCAGATTGTTTTTAGAACATGAATGTAGAAAATATTGATGTTTTTTTGGGATGAATGAATCTTCCAAACTAAATGCTTTTGTTCAGCAGTACGTTTTGTTTAGTTGCTAAGCTAACTAGCCTCCTTGAACTGAATGCGTCTTTATGAACATAGTTTCTGTGTAAACATTAAACTCTTATCAGAATGTCAGTGTGTTTACTTCTTATCACATTTGTTCTTGTGAATATTGTTGATCAGTAGTTGAATTACTCGTCTATCTCAGTACTTTGCTCTCTCTAAACTGAAACCAGGTTTCAGCAGATATGAGGTCAAAGTTCAGCACGCAGCATGATGGTTGACACATCACCAGTCTCTGGTGGCGTTTTGTCTGGTTCCTCGTCTCCTGAAGGAGATTTTCAGACCCGGCTCTGCTGGTGTTTCAGGAAGCAGCGAGGTTCAGCCGGGTGGAGGCTGCTGCACCCTGCTCACACACATCATCACTTCAGGAACATCAAGGTTTCAGTGGAAGGTTGAGAGAGGAGCTGCTGCTCCGTCTGAGTCCGGAAATAAATCTGAGAGAATCCCAGAAAAGCCAGAAGGAAGTCAGAGCTGGGATCCAGCATCCTCTCGCATAAACAGCCGCCTGCTGCCGGATGAGATTAGATCCAACGTGTGTGTGTGTGTGTGTGTGTGTGTGTGTGTGTGTGTGTGTGTGTGTGTGTGTGTGTGTGTGTGTGTGTGTGTGTGTGTGTGTGTGTGTGTGTGATGGGGACGATAAGCAGCAGCTTTTGAGGAGTAAACGCAGCAGCAGGTGTAAACTGTCAGGCTGCTCTTCTTCTGAGGATGTTTCCAGTTTAGATTTATTCGCAGGAACAATGCGGGGATGCAGCGAGCCTGCACGCATAAACAATATCCGCTCTGACGGTTCGATCAGAACCATCTGGTTCTGACCCGTTTGCCTCTGACCTCTCTCTGTCCAGATGAGCGTGAAGCGGTGCAGAAGAAGACCTTCACTAAGTGGGTGAACTCCCACCTGTCCAGGGTGTCGTGTCGGATCACGGACCTGTACATGGACCTGAGGGACGGCCGGATGCTCATCAAGCTGCTGGAGGTTCTGTCTGGAGAGAGGCTGGTAGGTTTGGACCATTAACACAAACCATCATGTTACTGGTTCCATGCAGGTTCAACTGGACCAACAGATACACAGAATTCACATGATGAAACAAAGTCCAGTTGGACAAATCAGTCAGTGTTTGGATCCAGAGTGCAGCTTTTACACTTTAGAAAGATCATCAGGGTGTTGATCTAGAACCAGAACCAGAACCAGATCCAGAACCAGAACCAGACATCCTGGATCATGATCCAGATCTGATTCTGGATCCGGTTCTGGATCAGTTTCTGGTCCTGGTTCTGGATCAGTATCAGGTTCTGGTTCTGGAGGACCCCAGTTGTTCCCCTGATGTCTTCTGTTTGTTTGAGGTTTGAATTCCTGCCTGGTGAGTAGTGATGCTGTGGGCTCGCCCTCCCATCTGTTCCTGAAATGAAGGGGGAGTCGCCATAGCAACCAGTGACTCAGCACTTTTCATATCAGTGATCAATGGATTATTGTTCTGTTTCCATGGTCACGGGAATACAAGCCACACACACACACACACACACACACACACACACACACACACACACACACACACACACACACACACACACACACACACACACACACAGAGGGACCAGCAGGACTGCTTCCTCTGCCTGCAGAGCCTCATGAATCCCAGTGGAGACGAAACCGAATAAAGGGAAACTGTGTGAAGCGGCTGCAGCAGCATGGAGGCTGCAGCAGCATGGAGGCTGCTGCAGCATAGAGGCTGCTGCAGCATGGAGGCTGCAGCAGCATGGAGGCTGCTGCAGCATAGAGGCTGCTGCAGCATGGAGGCTGCTGCAGCATAGAGGCTGCTGCAGCATGGAGGCTGCAGCAGCATGGAGGCTGCTGCAGCATAGAGGCTGCTGCAGCATGGAGGCAGCAGCAGCATGGAGGCTGCTGCGGCATGGAGGCTGCAGCAGCATGGAGGCTGCTGCGGCATGGAGGCTGCAGCGGCATGGAGGCTGCAGCAGCATGGAGGCTGCTGCAGCATGGAGGCATGGAGGCTGCTGCGGCATGGAGGCTGCTGCAGCATGGAGGCTGCTGCGGCATGGAGGCTGCAGCAGCATGGAGGCTGCTGCAGCATAGAGGCTGCTGCAGCATGGAGGCTGCAGCAGCATGGAGGCTGCTGCAGCATAGAGGCTGCTGCAGCATGGAGGCAGCAGCAGCATGGAGGCTGCTGCGGCATGGAGGCTGCAGCAGCATGGAGGCTGCTGCGGCATGGAGGCTGCAGCGGCATGGAGGCTGCAGCAGCATGGAGGCTGCTGCAGCATGGAGGCATGGAGGCTGCTGCGGCATGGAGGCTGCTGCAGCATGGAGGCTGCTGCGGCATGGAGGCTGCAGCAGCATGGAGGCTGTCAGCGCCGTGAAAGAGCCGCAGGAAACGCCAGCAGAGGAAGAGGAGGATGAGGAGGAAGAGTCTGACTGCCTGCCTGCTGGGGAAACTGGACTTCCACCAGTTCACATACTGGGAGAAGAGGAATCTAAATGTCATTAACGTGCATGAAGGCGACAGCGCCACCATCAATGAGAAAAATTCATCATTTAAATCGTGAATGTTTCACTGAGAAATGAGGATGTTTTTACAGTTTGCTGTTAGATCAAAGGCCGTAAGTGTTTATTGGTTTATTTACGCAGCGCTTAGCAACAACAGCTATGAAGCAAAAATCATACAACCCCAACAAACATGTTCAGTAAACAAACACATGCAAACATTAACTTCTATTTACTGTTATCAGAGCCTCCCGTTAGCGCATTAGCATTAGCTCCCACCATGCTATTCTCATGCGTTAGCTATTCATAAACTAGCTTTATGACGAGTGCTTTTCAGCTAGCGTTGCCTGATTACCATGGAAACTGAACACAGACCAGTGGAGGCTGCTGCTAGCCTGGATGTAGCGGGTGTTCCTGCGCTGACGGCTGCAGCTCCAGGCTCTTTCCTGCTTTGTTTTAGCGGATGGAGACTCCGAACGGAGAAACGGCTCAGATCAACACGTCAGCAGTGAAGTCGGCCAGCTGTGTCTGCAGCTGTGCTCTCTGACGTCTCCACATGAGGAACCCAGAGGTTTCAAGGTGTGCACTGTAACCGGTTCTGCTCTGTGTCCAGCCCAAACCCACCAAGGGCCGCATGCGGATCCACTGCCTGGAGAACGTGGACAAGGCCCTGCAGTTCCTGAAGGAGCAGCGGGTCCACCTGGAGAACATGGGCTCCCACGACATCGTGGACGGAAACCACCGCCTCACGCTGGGCCTCATCTGGACCATCATCCTCCGCTTCCAGGTGAGCTCAACACGGATCGGAGCCGCCGCCGCCGCTGCTGTTTATGATGTCATCACGGCTGAAATGGGCGGACAGGATTATCTTTGATAAGCTGTGAGGATTAAACCCATCCTGCCAGAAGAATCAGGCTGAAACGGAGCCGGCCGGACCAACCGCTCTGCGTTTTAGCTGCTGCAGTCAGAGATATCTGGGCCGGGTTCTGGTGGGCCGGGTTCTGGTGGGCCGGCTGAGGGACGTCCATCTATGAAGGTCAGACGGTTTCTGCTAGAACCTCACAGAGTTACCCTCAGTGCTGTGCAGTGCGACTCGGTTTCATAGAGAAACTTCAGCTCTTATTTTAGCTCTTTTCTCCGTCTTTAGATTTAAAGATTTATTTGGAACAAGGATTGGAGAAAATGTGGTGTTTGTTTGTCTTTGGGCTTTCTGTTCTGCTTGGTCCACTTTGGTTCTGTTGACCCAGTTTTGACCTCTGATCTTGTGTGTGTCTCAGATCCAGGACATCAGTGTGGAGACGGAGGACAACAAGGAGAAGAAGTCGGCTAAAGACGCCCTGCTGCTCTGGTGCCAGATGAAGACTGCAGGGTCAGTGCACCTGATGACCTCTGACCCTGAAACCTACTCAGGGCTCACAGGCTAGAATAAAATAGTTTAGTTCATAGAGAACAGAACCGACTCAGATTGAGGATGATTGGACACTTTCCTGTTTCTGTTCAGAAATGGATGAAAATGAATCAGATTTGGTTTTCTGTCATTTTAAAGTTTATTATTACTATTATTACTATTATTACTATTATTATTATTATTATTGCTATTATAACTATTACTATTATTATTATTACTATTATTATTATTATTATTACTATTATTATTATTATTATTACTATTATTACTATTATTATTATTACTATTATTACTATTATTATTATTATTGCTATTATTACTATTATTACTATTATTATTATTACTATTATTATTACTATTGTTATTATTATTATTGCTATTATTACTATTATTATTATTATTATTATTATTGCTATTATAACTATTATTACTATTATTATTACTATTATTACTATTATTATTATTACTATTATTATTATTATTATTGCTATTATTACTATTATTATTATTATTACTATTATTATTATTATTGCTATTATTACTATTATTACTATTATTATTATTATTATTATTATTACTATTATTATTATTATTATTGCTATTATTACTATTATGACAATTATTATTATTATTATTATTATTACTATTATTACTATTATTACTATTATTATTATTATTATTACTATTATTATTATTATTATTATTACTATTATTACTATTATTACTATTATTATTATTATTACTATTATTATTATTATTATTATTATTACTATTATTATTATTATTAGTACTATTATTATTATTATTATTACTATTATTACTATTATTATTATTACTATTATTACTATTATTATTATTATAACTATTATTATTATTATTACTATTATTATTATTACTATTATTATTATTACTATTATTATTATTACTACTATTATTACTATTATTATTATTATTACTATTATTATTATTATTATAACTATTATTACTATTATTATTATTATTACTATTATTATTATTATTATTATTATTACTATTATTATTACTATTATTATTATTATTATTATTACTATTATTATTATTATTATTACTACTATTATTACTATTATTATTATTATTACTATTATTACTATTATTATTATTATAACTATTATTACTATTATTATTATTACTATTATTATTATTACTATTACTATTATTATTATTATTATTACTATTATTATTACTATTATTATTATTATTATTATTACTATTTTTACTATTATTACTATTATTATTACTATTATTATTATATTACTATTATTATTACTATTATTACTATTATTACAATTATTACTATTAGTTTTAATGTTTCCAGAATCAGTTTCTGTTTATGTGAAACTTTCATTGCTGATCTTCTGACTTCCTGCTCAGGTATCCAAACGTCAACATCCACAACTTCACCACCAGCTGGAGAGACGGGATGGCCTTCAACGCCCTCATCCACAAACACAGGTACCACCACACCTTCCTCCTCCTCTTCCTCCTCCTCATCCTCCTCTTCCTCCTCCTCCTCCTCCCCCTCCTCCTCTTCCTCCTCCTTGTCATCCTCCTCTTCCTCCTCCTCCCCCTCCTCCTCCTTCTCCTCTTCCTCCTCCTCCTTTTCCTCCTCCTCTTCCTCCTCCTGCGTTTTATTTTGAAGGGTTTTCTTGTCGTTTTCAGACCTGATCTGATCGACTTTGATAAACTGAAGAAGTCAAACGCTCACTACAACCTGCAGAACGCCTTCAACCTGGCAGAGCAACACCTGGGGCTCACCAAGCTGCTGGACCCGGAAGGTCAACACACACACACATGCAGACACACACACACACACACACACACAGACACACACACGCAGACACACACGCAGACACACAGACACACACACACACACACACGCGCAGACACACACACACACACACACGCGCACACACACACGCAGACACACACACACAGACACACACACGCAGACACACACACACACATACACACACACACGCAGACACACAGACACACACACACGCAGACACACACACAGTGAGTTAACAGCTTTGCTCTCCTCTGCAGACATCAGCGTTGAACATCCTGATGAGAAATCCATCATCACCTACGTCGTCACCTATTACCACTACTTCTCCAAGATGAAGGCGCTGAAGGTGGAGGGCAAGAGGATCGGCAAGGTGAGCTGGTTCTGACCCGTCGCTGGTTCTGACCCGTTTCTGGTTCTGACCCGTCGCTGGTTCTTACCCAGATTTATCCCAGCAGCCCGAGTCAGGCTCGGCATCCTCTGATTGGTCCGAACCCGTCTGTGGATGAACTTTAAACGTTTTGTTAAACTGTCGGTTTGAAAGTTCAGCTTGTTTTTGTGCTGAATCTCCTGCCATATTTCAGATGAAGTCACCAGACTTCATCTGAATCTTTATCTAAAGGGACTCAAGAAACTGCCAGCAAAAACTAACATTTATTTCTCGATACTGTGAGCTTGAAGCAAACATAAAGAACCAAAAGATGATTTGAATTCATCTGGATCTTTTTGAAAATGGAACTATGTTTAAATCTCCAACCTCAAGTAAAATCGAATTTGTGCCATTTTATGATTGAGGGCCATGCAGAATCACTTTGAGGGCCACAAACAGCCCCCAGGCCACACTTTGGTCACCCCTGCTTTAACTGCTGCCTGCAAATTATTTATTAAAGTTTAGCAAGTAAAATTATTTTAGTAGGAAAAGATCTAGATTTCTGTTAAAATTGTTGAACTAAATTGTTGATTTTTGCTCTCCGTTTATCGCTGACGGAGCGTTTTTCCCTTCGCCTCGCCTCGCAGGTTCTGGACAACGCCATCGAGACGGAGAAGATGATTGAGAAGTACGAGTCTCTGGCGTCGGACCTGCTGGAGTGGATCGAGCAGACCATCATCATCCTCAACAACAGGAAGTTCGCCAACTCGCTGGTGGGCGTCCAGCAGCAGCTGCAGGCCTTCAACACGTACCGCACCGTGGAGAAACCACCCAAGTGAGTGGAGCCGCAGCCGGCACAGCTGCCGCAGCCGCAGCCGGCGAAGCCGCCGCAGCTGCCGCAGCCGCAGCCGGCGAAGCCGCTGCTGCAGCCGCAGCCGGCGAAGCCGCTGCAGCAGCCGCAGCCGGCGCAGCCGCAGCCGGCGCAGCTGCCGCTGCAGCCGCTGCCGGCGCAGCTTAATGGAGAATATCACAACACATCAAACCATCTGATCCCACACATTTACTGATGATACTTTACAATATGAGCTCAGACCAAACATGTATTATATATACATTTCCATATGTTTTAAATATATTCTGCCTTATATTGCTAATATATCTTTACATAATCAATACATTTTCCCATCTAAATCATATTTTTTTTGTTATATAAACATATACATTAAATATTTATGTGTAATAATGTGCAGGACAGTGAGAATCATTTGTTTAAATTACATGAATATGTATAATTTATAGATCATCAGTATAATAGTCAGTGTTTCTTTAATTGCACTCCTCCAGTGTTATTTGTTGATATACTTATTTTTAATAACATTAGTTGGTGTTTTGTTGATAACAGATGTTTTTAAATTTCCCGTCAACTTTAAACATTTTGAACTCAAATTGAGGTCTGATGCAGCGCCGCTGTCACTGAGCTCAGCTGCTTTTATAATGTTTGAAAATGTTTTTACATTTTCAAACATTATAAAACATTATAAAATGAGACGCAGCTGTGGAACTTTGATAAACATAAAATGTGTGTTCAGGTTCACAGAGAAGGGGAACCTGGAGGTTCTGCTCTTCACCATCCAGAGTAAGATGAGAGCCAACAACCAGAAAGTTTTTACGCCGCGCGAAGGAAAGCTCATCTCTGACATCAACAAGGTAGCTGTAGCGTGACATCCGGGGGCGAACGGCGTCCCCGCTCTGACCGGGTGCGTTTGTTTCAGGCCTGGGAGCGTCTGGAGAAGGCGGAGCATGAGCGGGAGCTGGCCCTGAGGACGGAGCTGATCCGCCAGGAGAAGCTGGAGCAGCTGGCCCGCCGCTTCGACCGCAAGGCCGCCATGAGGGAGACGTGGCTGAGCGAGAACCAGAGGCTGGTCTCACAGGTACGACTCACCTGGACTCACCTGGCCATCACTTATTCATCACAATCCAGAATGATACGAGGATGTTTTACTTGTTAATTCAGATTTTTCTCCTTCATTTTTTGTTTTTCCTCTGATTCCTATCCTCCCACTGTTCCTTCTCTCCTTTCCTCCTTCATTTCCTCTTCCTCCCTGTCTTCCTGTCTTCCTTCCTGCCATCTTCCTGTCTTCCTTCCTGTCGTTTCCTGCCGTCTTCCTGTCGTCTTCCTGTCTTCCTTCCTGTCTTCCTGCCGTCTTCCTGTCTTCCTTCCTGTCTTCCTGCCGTCTTCCTGTCTTCCTTCCTGTCTTCCTGCCGTCTTCCTGTCTTCCTTCCTGTCTTCCTGCCGTCTTCCTGTCTTCCTTCCTGTCTTCCTGCCGTCTTCCTGTCTTCCTTCCTGTCTTTCTGCCGTCTTCCTGTCTTCCTGCCGTCTTTCTCTGCAGGATAACTTTGGATTCGACCTGCAGGCCGTGGAGGCGGCCACTAAGAAGCATGAGGCCATAGAGACGGACATCGCGGCGTACGAGGAGCGCGTTCAGGCGGTGGTTGCCGTGGCGAAGGAGCTGGAGGCGGAGAGTTACCATGACATCAAGCGCATCACGGCCAGGAAGGACAACGTGATCCGGCTGTGGGAATACCTGCTGGAGCTGCTGAAGGCCCGGCGCCACAGGTTGGAGCTCAACCTGGGCCTGCAGAGGGTTTTCCAGGAAATGCTCTACATCATGGACTGGATGGACGAGATGAAGGTAACGTCATCATCCTCACCGCCAGGCTCTCGTTTTCGCTTTGAGACGCCAGGAAGCTGCTGGTTGTTCCGCTGCGCTGCAGAATAAAGGCGGAGCGATAGCAGTACCTGCTGCAGCTGCTGCTGCAGCAGAAAGATGATTTTACTGCCGTCACAAAGTTTATTACAAATAACATCTGGAGGACAGTAAATGTATCTCTGCATTGATCTGGTTTTATTGAATTAGAATAAATTTCCTCACTTTCATCTTCATGTATCTTTATCAGTAATTATTGCTATTATTTCCTTTTTTACAGTTTTTGTAAAATGTTTAGTTTGTTTCTCATTTAAAGATAAATAATTTATTTGCTAAAATTTTATAATTAAATACAAAATCATTTGTTCTTGTACATCTATGATGTTTTTTTTATTTTTAATTTAAAATTATAACTGCTCCATGTTATTATAGAATAAATTATGATTAACTGAGAGACATTAAACATCCACATTTTTTAAAAGAATTATTTTATTTTTACAGCTAAAACAGTTAAAAATCTCGAGATGATGATCTCTGAGGTTAAAGGTTAAATCAGGCCGATGTGATGAAAATAATTAAACTTTATTTAACTCGCAGTGAAAGACAAACCGATGAGTTTCCTCCTGCAAACTGGAACCTGATTTTGATGTGAAGTTCATCTTCTGACGCGTTTCTTTCACTGAAGCCATGTGACTGAAGGCAACCTTCAGCCACGCATCAGCGAAACGTTTGCAGATCTTTGTTCAGTCAGATCATGAAGCTCCGGCTTCATGTGTTCAGGAATTATCTTTTAATTCAGTTATTGATCTAGTTGATATTTGCGGCTCTGTAAAGGTGATGAATGTTTTCAGTGAAACCGTCTTACCTGCAGACGTTCAGGTAATCGCCAAGACCAGGTGTGTTAAAGTCGAGGCCCGGGGGCCAAATGTGGTCCGCTGTAAGCATGTCTGCGGTCCTCTGCACTCAGCAGTTTGATTCTGAAATATCATTTTATAATGAGGACAGAGCAGCTGGTATCTGTATTTTCACAAACTCTTAGTGTGAGAAGAGTTTCATGTTTCAATGTAATGCAGGTTTTTATTAACAGTTTATTGGGTTGTTTTATTAATTCAACCAACATTAATGATCTTAATGAGGTTCAGAATGAAGTTTGGAAAATTAAACTAAAGTTTCTCTGTTTTATGTTAGAAATAACTTACTAAAAGTTCTGCAGGATATTTTTAATGGAATGTTTAAATCATAAACTCATGAGTTGTTTATTATGCTTTGCATGATTAATCCTTGAGAATATTTTAGGTTTTCAGCAGGTCAGAGGATTAAGGGATGCTGCTGTTGGCCAGCAGGTGGCGCTGCAGGTCCAGTTGCAGCTGCAGCTTCATGATGCTGCAGATGAAAACAAACATTTTCCAGAATATTTTCATTTTTTAAACAGTTTTAGACGATTGAGCAGGAAAAAGATTTTTGTTTTTGATCATCCTGAATCACCTGTCCTCTGGCTGACCGACCGGTGTTGACCTCTGACCCCGGCAGATGCTGCTGCTGTCCCAGGACTACGGGAAGCACCTGTTGGGTGTGGAGGATCTGCTGCAGAAACACGCTCTGGTGGAGGCCGACATCTCCATCCAGGCCGACCGCGTCCGCAACGTCAACAGCAACGCCCAGAAGTTCGCCAGCGACACCGACGGTACGCCGGCGCCGCTCGCCGTCCATCCACGCCGCTGCTCTTCCTCACCGCTCCACTTCCTCACCGCTCCTCTTCCTCACCGCTCCTCTTCCTCACCGCTCCTCTTCCTCACCGCTCCTCTTCCTCCCCCCAGGCTACAACCCTGCGACCCGCAGGTCATCCGGGACCGCGTGGCTCACATGGAGTTCTGCTACCAGGAGCTGAACCAGCTGGCGGCGGAGCGCGCCCGTCTGGAGGAATCCCGCCGCCTCTGGAAGTTCTTCTGGGAGATGGCCGAGGAGGTGCGCTGACCTTCCACCCCGCTGTCAGCCGTACGGCGGTGGCGGTTTCACGGTAACCTGGCGTTCTGGTTCGCAGGAGGGCTGGATCCGGGAGAAGGAGCAGATCCTGTCCTTGGAGGATCACGGGAAGGATCTGACGGGAACGGTGCGGCTGCTGAGTCAGCACAAAGCCTTCGAGGACGAGATGAGCGGCCGCGCCGCCCACCTGCAGCAGACCATCAGGCAGGGCCAGCAGCTGGTGGACGAAAACCACTTCGGAGCCGAGAAGATCAAGGAGCGCATCCAGGACATCCAGGTGGGCCGACGTGGGGTCAGGAGGCTTTTATTCTGAAAGAACCAGCCTAACAGGGCGCTTCCTGTCTGTGTAGGATCAGTGGGCGGCTCTGGAGCGTCTGTCTGCCGTACGGAAAACCCGCCTGCAGGAGGCCTGCAACCTGCACCAGTTCCAGGTGAGAAACTCCCACAGATCCCAGTTAGAGGTCAAAGAACTACTTCCTGTTGCCCCCGCTGCAGGGCGTTGCTAGGTAACCAGACAGCTAGCTTAGCTCGCTGTCAGAAGCTGAGCAGCTAAAGTTTTCCAGAATGCTTTGCTGTTCTGGGTCAGAGTTCAGTGAACTGATTGAATCAGGTGTTTCATGTTGGTCCAGTGTCAGTAGATGAATTATCGCTCTGACCCGACCTTTGACCCTCAGGCTGACGCCGACGACATCGACACCTGGATGCTGGACGTCCTGCGCATCGTCTCCAGCGTGGACGTCGGCCACGATGAGTTCTCGGCCCAGGCTCTGGTGAAGAAGCACAAAGACGTGGCGGAGGAGATCGGCAGCTACCGGCCCGTCATCGAGGCGCTGCACGAGCAGGCGCAGACGCTGCCGCCGCAGGAGGCCGGCTCCCAGGAGGTAACGCCGCCGCCGCTGGGGCCGCCGCCGCCGCTGGGCCAGGACGCCACGCATCACCGCTGCCTTCGCCCCGCAGGTCCGAGCCCGGCTGGCCGGCATCGAGGAGCGGTACCAGGAAGTGGCGGAGCTGACCCGGCACAGGAAGCAGGCGCTGCAGGACGCGCTGGCGCTCTACAAGATGCTGAGCGAGGCCAGCGCCTGCGAGCTGTGGGTCGACGAGAAGGAGCAGTGGCTCAACGGCATGGACATCCCCGACAAGCTGGAGGACCTGGAGGTGGTTCAGCACCGGTGAGACCCAGACCCGACCGGACCGGATCCACGGGCCGGAGCAGAACCGCGGCGTTCCTCACGGCTCGCTGTCCGTCTCCCTGCAGGTTCGAGAGTCTGGAGCCGGAGATGAACAGCCAGGCGTCCCGAGTCGCCGTGGTGAACCAGGTGGCCCGGCAGCTGGTCCACAGCGGGCACCCCGGGGAGACCGAGATCCGGGCCCAGCAGGACCAGCTCAACACCAGGCGAGTGGGACGGGCCGGGTCGGGCCGGGTCCAGCTGGAACCCTCTGGGTCTGATGGCGGTTCTGTCCGTGTTCAGGTGGAGCCAGTTCAGAGACCTGGTGGACCAGAAGAAGGAGAACCTGAACTCGGCGCTGGGCGTCCAGAACTACCACCTGGAGTGCAACGAGACCAAGTCCTGGATCAAGGAGAAGACCAAGGTACGGGGCCCGACCGGCCCGGACCGACCGGACCTCCGGCAGAACCTCAGCAGGACGCCCTGTGTTGCAGGTGATCGAGTCGACCCAGGAGCTGGGCAACGACCTGGCCGGGGTCATGGCGCTGCAGAGGAAGCTGACCGGCATGGAGCGCGACCTGGCCGCCATCGAGGACAAGCTGACGGACCTGGACAAGGAGGCGGAGCGGCTGGCGAGCGAACACCCGGAGCAGGCCGGCGCCATCAGGGGCCGGCTGGCCGAGATCACCGCCGTCTGGGACGACATGAAGGTCAGAGGTCGTCTCAGCAAGGGCTCTGCTGCTGCTGGATTAGTGCTGCCAATCCATTCAAGATACAATACGATCAATCACCAATAAAGACCATTGATCACTGTATCATTAATAACTTTGAAAGCAAACCGAAACCTGTCAGTTTTCCAGGTCTCATTTTCAGGACGAGTCAAAGTGATTTGGTTATAAATGTAATTAAATGTTTTATAAACTGGTTGAGCTGCGATGGAAGGAAGATTCACCGTCACACAGATCAACCTGGTTTCACCCAAACATCCATCACAACGGACTCCTTCATTCTCCGTGGGGTTTAATCTGACCGTAATCTGACGGGACGGTCAGAAAGATCCGGGCGACGGAACCGAGGATTCAGACCAACAGCTGAGCTACCAGTCTGACCCTGTCATGTCAGGGTCAAAAGGAGAACATTTCCAACCAAAATCTGTTCATTTTCTTGGATTAATCTCAGGAATTTTGAAGAAAAATCTTTTCTGAGCTTAAATAGTTGAAAATTTGCCAGAAAAAAAACGGAAATTTTAAGATTAATTTCAGTTTCAGTTGTTCCAGTCAAAATGTTTTGAAAGTCAGAAGGAGTTTTCTGGTGGATATTTGCTCCTCCTTTTTGTCGTCTTAATGGCTTCTTCCATCGTTCCTCTGACTGCAGTGTTGACCGCGGCACAAGCACTGCGGCGCTGCACAGGCTAACCTCAGCTAACCTCTCAGAGACATGTTGTTAATCAGCGTTCTGTCATATTAGCGTGTGAAGCGTTGCAGATGAATCTGTTCAACGTTGACCCGTCTGTCCCGGTCCGCCTCTAGGGGACGCTGAAGAACCGCGAGGAGTCTCTGGGCGAGGCCAGCAAGCTGCAGCAGTTCCTGCGGGAGCTGGACGACTTCCAGTCGTGGCTGTCCCGCACGCAGACGGCCATCGCCTCGGAGGACATGCCCAACGCGCTGGCCGAGGCCGAGAAGCTGCTGGCCCAGCACGAGAACATCAAGAACGAGATCCGCAACTACGAGGAGGACTACCAGAAGATGAGGGACATGGGGGACATGGTGACGCAGGGCCAGACGGACGCCCAGTACATGTTCCTGCGGCAGCGGCTGCAGGCGCTCGACACCGGCTGGAACGAGCTGCACAAGATGTGGGAGAACCGGCAGAGCCTGCTGTCCCAGTCCCACGCATACCAGCTGTTCCTGAGGGACACCAAGCAGGCCGAGGCCTTCCTCAACAACCAGGTAACCGATGATGATGATGATGTCACACCTGCTGCTCTACCCCGCTAACCAACACTGATGATGTCACACAATATCCAACCCTTACCTGGTAATAAAACACCTGTCGGACCAGGTCGCTTTGATAAAACGGGTTCCGGTTCATTAACAGGACGGCGTGGTGCTGCCCCCTGCTGGTGGAAGACCTCTGGTTCAGAAACGTTCATTCAGGAAAACAGAAAATTAAACTCAATGTTCAGGATTAAAAATAGTCAGGAATGAATAAAAAAACATACAAATATTTTGTTTTTTTAAAAAGAAGAATCATTTTAGGTAGAATATAGTGGCACTAGAACATCTGAGCCGTAAGATGTTGGTCTATCGCCATGAAAATATAGAGAAGAAGAAGCAGAGATGTTGATGGTAATAATGATAATTTGGTCCGGTCCGGTCTGGTCCGGTCCAGTCCGGTCCTGTCCGGTCCGGTCCGGTCCGGTCCGGTCCGGTCCGGTCCGGTCCTGTCTGGTCCGGTCCGGTCCGGTCCTGTCTGGTCCGGTCCGGTCCTGTCCTGTCCGGTCCGGTCCTGTCCTGTCCGGTCCGGTCTGGTCCTGTCCGGTCCGGTCCGGTCTGAGTTCTGCTGTGTGTTCGGCTCAGGAATACGTCCTGGCCCACACCGAGATGCCGACCACCCTGGAGGGCGCCGAGGCCGCCATCAAGAAGCAGGAGGACTTCATGACCACCATGGACGCCAACGAGGAAAAGATCAGCGGCGTGGTCGACACCGGGCGCCGCCTGGTCGCTGATGGCAACATCAACGCCGAGCGCATCCAGGAGAAGGTGGACTCCATCGACCAGAGGTAGCACAGATCCCGTCTGCTCCTCCAGATGAAACGTCCGTCATGAAGCCTGACTCGGTTCTGATGTTCGTTTCAGACACAAGAAGAACCGGCAGGCGGCTAAGGACCTGCTCAGCAGGCTGAAGGACAACAGGGACCTGCAGAAGTTCCTGCAGGACTGCCAAGAGGTCAGGCCCGGCCGCGAAAGGTCACAGGCGGTTTGCAGACGGGCAGGTTGTCTGGTTTGGACGCTCAGCGTGTCTCTGTCCCCAGCTGTCCCTGTGGATCAACGAGAAGATGCTGACGGCTCAGGACATGACGTACGACGAGGCCAGGAACCTGCACAGCAAGTGGCTGAAGCACCAGGCCTTCATGGCCGAGCTGCAGTCCAACAAGGAGTGGCTGGACAAGATCGAAAAGGTCAGGAGGGAAACGCTCAGATCATCGTTTAAATCACACTCAGCTTGCTTTGGGACGCAGCTCTGATGGAAACAAAACATCTAAAGTTTCCTTTATTCCAGTGAGAAAACATGTTTAAGTATAAACATGAATCCTTAAAGTTCCTCACATACAAACGTAGCATTTTATAAGCTACACTGCAAAGAGCTGCTTCTAGCTTAGCTTGATTTCAATTAGCTTATTATTTTCTATCCTTACCTACGCTAAACCTAACTAAACTTTAAGCTAGCTTATCTTGTCTAAGCTAATGCTAACTTGAGGCTAGCTTCTCTTAAAGCTCAGCTAATGCTAACTTTAGGCTAGCTTTTTTTAAAGCTTGGCTAATGCTAACTTCAGGCTACCTTCTCTTAAAGCTCAGCTAATGCTATCTTCAGGCTAGCTTCTCTTAAAGTTCAGCTAATGCTAACTTTAGACTAGCTTTTCTTAAAGCTCAGCTAATGCTAACTTTAGGCTAGCTTTTTTTAAAGCTCAGCTAATGCTAACTTTAGGCTAGCTTTTTTTTAAAGCTCAGCTAATGCTAACTTTAGGCTAGCTTCTCTTAAAGCTCAGCTAATGCTAAGTTTAGGCTAGCTTCTCTTAAAGCTCAGCTAATGCTAAGTTTAGGATAGCTTCTCTGAAAGCTCAGCTAATGCTAAGTTTAGGATAGCTTCTCTTAAAGCTCAGCTAATGCTAACTTTAGACTAGCTTTTCTTAAAGCTCAGCTAATGCTAACTTTAGACTAGCTTTTTTAAAACTCGGCTAATGCTAACTTCAGGCTAGCTTCTTTTAAAGCTCAGCTAATGCTAACTTTAGTCCAGCTTCTCTTAAAGCTCAGCTAATGCTAACTTTAGGCTAGCTTCTCTTGAAGTTCAGCTAATGCTACCTTCAGGCTAGCTTCTGTTAAAGCTCAGCTAATGCTAACTTTAGGCTAGCTTCTCTTGCTCCCTGGGCTGAGCTCTGAGGTGGTTGTGCTGCAGGACGGCAAGGCGCTGATGGCAGAGAAGCCAGAGACGGAGGCCATGGTGAAGGAGAAGCTGGCGTCCCTGAAGGTCATGTGGAACGACCTTGAGTCGACCACCCAGACCAAGGCCAAGTGTCTGTTTGACGCCAACAAGGCCGAGCTTTTCACCCAGAGCTGCGCCGACCTGGACAAGTGGCTGACCGGCCTGGACGGCCAGCTGCAGTCCGACGACTTCGGCAAAGACCTGACGTCCGTCAACATCATGCTGAAGAAGCAGCAGGTAAACCAGTCAGACCAGTTAAACCAGTACAGATGAGATTTAGGGAGGTTTCTTTGATGGTGACTCTTCAGAGCTCCATCATTTGTTCTGTGATCAGATATTGGGAGGTCTATGCCTGATGATGGATCAATGGAAATGTGATCAGAGGAGCTTTGATCAGACACAATCAGTAAAATGTGTCTGTAGAGTTTTATCCTTGAAAAGCTCATTTATCTCAATGATGTATGTAGATGAGGAACACACAGATTGGGCTCTGATGACAGGAAGTTTGTAATAAACCAGGATGTCGTTCATGAAGCATAGAATTAGACTGAATAGATTGGCTCACTGATAACAGATCTAGAATATTTTAGATGCGTCTTTAATATTCATCATGTTAAATTTTGTCAGAAGATCATAAAACTTTACTGAATGATTTATCCATTTTAGACGCTGACACAGATCGTTTATCAATAGATTTATCGGGTCAGTTATCAATAGTTCTATCAGTGAGCAGCTGATGGCGCGCCTCCTCCTCCTGCAGATGCTGGAGAGCCAGGTGGAGGTGCGCCAGAAGGAGGTGGAGGAGCTGCAGAAGCAGTCGCAGGCGCTGAGCCAGGAGGGCAAAGGTTCTGACGAGGCGGACGGGAAGCGGATCAGCGTGGAGAACAAGTTCCAGGCGCTGCTGGCGCCGCTCAAGATGAGGCGCGACAACCTGATGGCGTCGCGCGAGATCCACCAGTTCAACAGAGACGTGGAGGACGAGATAGTGAGTCCACAGTTCCTGTTCTGGTTCTGGTTCTGTTCAATCCAGGTTCACTTCATCAACATGAAACCAGGAACAAACATTAAAGCTGCAACTACTTCTGTTTTCATAGAAGAAGAACCCAGTTTACAGGAAGGTTTGATGTTTCTCTCTGGAGAGAACCGCTGCTGTCAGTCTGGACCCATGGTTCTGATGGTTCTGGTGGTTCTGGTGGTTCTGGTGGTTCTGGTGGTTCTGTTGGTTCTGATGGTTCTGTTGGTTCTGTTGGTTCTGGTGGTTCTGTTGGTTCTGGTGGTTCTGGTTTCATTAAACCGTCAGATTACATGCAGCAGAACCTTTTCCAGATATTTATTTTTTCTGCAGCAGGTCACAGTAAAGTGTCTGTTTCATATCTACAACATGAAATAGTGAAAAACTATTTTAAATAAAGTAATTAATGATTTATTAAATGACATAAATCCTGAGTCGGGTCGGCTGGAGGACCGGAAGGACTGAGAACCGTCTGACCTGCAGCTTTCAGCGTGTCGTATCAATAATCTATTATCAATAATCTATTATCAATAATCTATTATCAATAATCTATTCAATCTATAAATAATAATCATCTCTTCAGTGAAATGATGTCAAGCAGTTTATTCTGGGTATTTTCAGTATTTCACCATCAATGTTGCACATTTGTAAACAGACATTTATCATTTGAGAGGATTTGAGATTTTTTTTAGGAAGTTTTATTTCTGCTAGTGGATCAAATCAGATCCACTTTGAGGAGCAAGGACTCGTATAATCATACGATCTGTTTTTATTGAACTTCTCTGTATCAATGCAAATTGTTTTGAGTTTATTGACGGCTGATTGGTTCTGAGTTCCTATGGGAACCAGATTGGCTCCTCATGGGAGTTCCTGACTCCTGCTCTGTGTGCAGCTGTGGGTGGAGGAGCGGCTGCCTCTGGCCACGTCCACCGACCACGGACACAACCTGCAGACGGTGCAGCTGCTCATCAAGAAGAACCAGGTAACCTTTGACCTCTCACCAGGAAACAACCTGAACAGATGAAACCCGACGGCCGTCGCACATGTAGAGAGTTTCACAGGAAACGACACATGATGCAGTGAGCTGAACCCAGACTGACCCTCAGTGTGTGTATGTGTGTGTGTGTGTGTGTGTGTGTGTGTGTGTGTGTGTGTGTGTGTGTGTGCTCTGCCCTGCAGACGCTGCAGAAGGAGATCCAGGGCCACCAGCCTCGTTATGACGACATCTTTGAGCGCAGCCAGCAGGTCCTGCGGGCCGGCAGCCCCACGGCCGAGCCGATCCGCCAGAGGCTCAGCGAGCTGCAGGCGCTGTGGGAGCGGATCCGGAAGGAGACGGAGAACCGGCATTCCCGCCTCAGCGAGGCCCACGAGGCCCAGCAGTACTACTTTGACGCTGCGGAGGCCGAGGCCTGGATGAGCGAGCAGGAGCTGTACATGATGTCTGAGGAGAAGGCCAAGGTGGGCGGAGCCAGGAAACAGATATAGATCTATGTATATAGATAGACAGCTGTAGATCTATGTATATAGATAGACAGCTGTAGATCTATGTATATAGATAGACAGCTGTAGATCTATGTATATAGATAGACAGCTGTAGATCTATGTTTATAGATAGACAGCTGTAGATCTATGTATATAGATAGACAGCTGTAGATCTATGTTTATAGATAGACAGCTGTAGATCTATGTATATAGATAGACAGCTGTAGATCTATGTATATAGATAGACAGCTGTAGATCTATGTATATAGATAGACAGCTGTAGATCTATGTATATAGATAGACAGCTGTAGATCTATGTATATAGATAGACAGCTGTAGATCTATGTATATAGATAGACAGCTGTAGATCTATGTTTATAGATAGACAGCTGTAGATCTATGTATATAGATAGACAGCTGTAGATCTATGTTTATAGATAGACAGCTGTAGATCTATGTATATAGATAGACAGCTGTAGATCTATGTATATAGATAGACAGCTGTAGATCTATGTATATAGATAGACAGCTGTAGATCTATGTATATAGATAGACAGCTGTAGATCTATGTTTATAGATAGACAGCTGTAGATCTATGTATATAGATAGACAGCTGTAGATCTATGTATATAGATAGACAGCTGTAGATCTATGTAGATCTATGTATATAGATAGACAGCTGTAGATCTATGTATATAGATAGACAGCTGTAGATCTATGTTTATAGATAGACAGCTGTAGATCTATGTATATAGATAGACAGCTGTAGATCTATGTATATAGATAGACAGCTGTAGATCTATGTATATAGATAGACAGCTGTAGAGCTATGTATATAGATAGACAGCTGTAGATCTATGTATATAGATAGACAGCTGTAGATCTATGTTTATAGATAGACAGCTGTAGATCTATGTATGTAGATAGACAGCTGTAGAGCTATGTATATAGATAGACAGCTGTAGATCTATGTATGTAGATAGACAGCTGTAGATCTATGTATATAGATAGACAGCTGTAGATCTATGTATATAGATAGACAGCTGTAGATCTATGTATGTAGATAGACAGCTGTAGATCTATGTATGTAGATAGACAGCTGTAGAGCTATGTATATAGATAGACAGCTGTAGAGCTATGTATATAGATAGACAGCTGTAGATCTATGTATATAGATAGACAGCTGTAGATCTATTTATTTTCCTCCAGTTTAAACTCCAGATCCTTTTCTTGAATCTTTTTGACATTTTTTTTGTTTAACTTTATTTTTTCTGTTTCTCCAGATTTTATTCTTATTTCTTGCTTGTAAATTTTCCCCGTCTTTCTCTTTTCCTTTCACTTCCTTGTTCTGCTGTCGGTTCCTGCTGGGCGTCGCTGAGTTCTGGCGACTCGGTTCAACAGAGAGGAGTCAGTGTGACCTCTGACCGGTTCAGCAGGCTGTCTGACCTCTGATCAGCCCCTCTGACCTCTGACCCCTGTGCAGGATGAGCAGAGCTCGGTGGCCATGCTGAAGAAGCATCAGATCCTGGAGCAGGCGGTGGAGGATTACGCCGACGCCGTCCATCAGCTGTCCAGCACCAGCCGGGGCCTGGTGGCCGCAGGTCACCCCGACAGGTGAGTCGCCCGCGAGCCCCGCCCCCCCACAGGGAGCGAACTCTGACCCCGTGTCGTCCCGCCACAGCGAGCGCATCGGCATGCGGCAGTCGCAGGTGGACAAGCTGTACGCGGGGCTGAAGGACCTGGCGGAGGAGCGGCGCGGGAAGCTGGACGAGCGTTTCCGTCTGTTCCAGCTGAACCGGGAGGTGGACGACCTGGAGCAGTGGATCGCCGAGCGGGAGGTGGTGGCCGGGTCGCACGAGCTGGGCCAGGACTACGAGCACGTCACGGTGAGAGGATGAGTGAAAGCGGCACTGCTCCAGTCTGATGAACTTCATGTTTTACTGGTTTAAAGGTTCATTTAATCGTCTGGACAACTGAAAACTATTCATTTATCACCAGAATCAGCAAAACCAGAATGTTTTTCTTCCGTTTTAACTGGAGTAAGATGCTTTTAAGGTTTTTTAACATTTCTTGATGCAGAGCTTTTGTTACTGTGAAACTGTTTTCATGAGTTTTTGTTGGTTCTTTGAAAAGTCTGTGAATGTTTCTGATGTTTGAGCAACATTTAAAAACCAACAGGAGCAAAACTATCAAGATGTTTCAAGAATTTTCTCTGAAACTTTTTAAACTTTTATTGTTAGAATCAAAACAAATCAAATTTAACAGCATTTCTTTCAAACTAAACATTTTAATGTATGCAAACATGGAAAACATGAATATTAATGTGTAATATGATCGACTGCTTCATCCTGTTGACCTCTGACCTTTCTCGATCAGATGCTGCAGGAGCGTTTCCGAGAGTTCGCCCGGGACACGGGGAACATCGGTCAGGAGCGCGTCGACGGCGTCAACAAGCTGGCGGACGAGCTGATCAACGCGGGCCACGGCGACGCGGCCACCATCGCCGAGTGGAAGGACGGGCTGAACGAGGCGTGGGCCGACCTGCTGGAGCTCATCGACACGCGCACGCAGATCCTGGCCGCCTCCTACGAGCTGCACAAGTTCTACCACGACGCCAAGGAGATCCTGCACCGCATCCTGGACAAACACAAGAAGCTGCCGGAGGAGCTGGGCCGCGACCAGAACACCGTGGAGACGCTGCAGAGGATGCACACCACCTTCGAGCACGACATCCAGGCGCTGGGAACACAGGTATGCTGGAGCCAGGCAGCATGGCAGCCGGGGAACCCGGGGAACAACCCGGCGCCCGGGGAACAACCCGGCGCCCGGAGAACAACCCGGCGCCCGGAGAACAACCCGGCGCCCGGGGAACAACCCGGCGCCCGGGGAACCCGGCGCCCGGAGAACAACCCGGCGCCCGGAGAACAACCCGGCGCCCGGAGAACAACCCGGCGCCCGGGGAACAACCCGGCGCCCGGGGAACAACCCGGCGCCCGGGGAACAACCCGGCGCCCGGAGAACAACCCGGCGCCCGGAGAACAACCCGGCGCCCGGAGAACAACCCGGCGCCCGGGGAACAACCCGGCGCCCGGAGAACAACCCGGCGCCCGGGGAATCTATTAGTAAAGTAGAAACATGAAGGAGTCTGTTGAGCTCAGACCAGTTTGTCCTGCAGGTCCGGCAGCTGCAGGAAGACGCCGTCCGTCTGCAGTCGGCGTACGCCGGAGACAAAGCCGACGACATCCAGAAGAGAGAAGGAGAGGTGAGAGACCAGCACTCTGCTCCCTCATTGGACCAGAGAGTCTTAAAGAGACAGCGCCGCTGCTGCTCTCAGCGCAACGCATGCTGCACGGCTGCTGCTCTCACATCACATCAGCTCTTTGCTCCTGAAAGAGCCTCAGCAGCACAGATTACTTTAACTATACCAGAGCCAGGGCTTAAAGGGCCGGTGTCGTGTTTTCCAGGCACAGAGACAATCTAGTAACTGTTACTTTTGGTCGTTATAATATTAAATAGAACTTAAAATAAATGTAACTTCCTGATCAAATGTCTTGAAATTGGGCCTCTGTCTCTTTAAGAAGCTCCTGTTCTCTCTGAAGCTCCGCCTCCAGGAAGTCATCCAACATGGCTCCTCTATTCACCCTCTAATGTTTTTACCAGCTCTGCTCTGAGCAGCAGCTCCTATAATGAGCTCAGCAGCTGTTTGCTAAGTGCTTCTGGCTAGTCTGAAGGAGCTGAGTGGGAGGAGCTGTGTCCTGAAGGCGGGGCTAGATCCACTCAGGCGTTTTGCAGCTGAATGTTTGCCATGGACACTAAAGGATGGAAAGATAAACATGGTGATTTTCTGACACCGGCCCTTTAAATGTTCCTCCTCACACTGTGACATCACACAGGGAGGTCAAAGTGCTGTGAACATCGCTGTGGTTTTATGTCTGATGAGTTTGAGTTCATGTTTACAATTCACCTGAATTTAATTTAAACTAATCCAGCATGAAGTGTCCTTCTGATCCCGGGTCCAGACCTCATCTGCACTGGGTCCAGAATTCTGGTTCTGGTTCTGGATGAAGAGTTGATTTGATGCTTTGGGTCGTTCCCTTCGTGATGTTCCAGACCTCATTAACTCGCTCAGCCTCCTGCGGCCCACAGCATCATGGAGCCTCCTGCGGCCCACAGCATCATGGAGCCTCCTGCGGCCCACAGCATCATGGAGCCTCCACTTTACCCTGCAGTGGGCTGAACGGGTTTAACCTCATCCTTTGGTTCCGACCCAGATGGAACGATTCAGGCTTATCTGACCCGACATCAGTGGTCTAGTTAAAGTAAACGGGATTAGCATGTGGATAGCAGCAAATGGTTGCCATGGGAACCTTTATAAGAGTAAAATTGTAAAAGTGTCCCAGTCAAACTTCCAAACTTCAACATGGCTTCCAGAAAAGGCCTGTGTGTCGCGTCATTTTCCTTCCCCAGGGAACATGGAGTGATTCATTAAGTTCCTCTGAAGATAATCATTGAATGGTTCATTTAATAGTTTTTATTTGTGAATATGGGATTATTGTGAATGTCAGATTATTCTGAGATTAGTTTTGTCCCACCAGAGGAGCCGTAGTTTCACCTCCATGTTTATGTCGGCTGGTGTTTCCTGGACCCGACCCGTCTGGACTCTGCTGGTTCTGTTATTCAGGCCAACGTGTTAGCATGTTAGCGTGTTGCTGCTGTGTTTTGACCGTCCCTATGTGTCTCCCTGCGTTTCGCCCGGTGAGCCCAGAAGAGAAAGGGAGAGGTGAGACTCCGCCCCTAAGCTTTGCATCACTTGGCTGCTCTTCCTCCCCTCCTCTTCCTCTGTGGACTAAAATGAGCTCAAACATTTTAGTCGCTCTGGCTGAGCGCTCGTCTCAATCTGGGATCGTTTGTCTCGGTCTTCTCCACCCGGCTGGGCTGCCGAGAAGCTGAAAACAAACGCTCCTGCAGTAATAAGGTGAGCAGACAGGGAAGCTGGGGAGGAGGCTCCATGGTCACAGCCTCCTCTTCATCACACCTTCATCACCGGGTCAGAAACATTGAAGCTAAGCGCTGCGACTTTATCAAAAATATCTTTCTACACGGCACTTCAAACTGTCACATAACAGTTTATGAGACGATAATCTGTGAAAAGATCGATCTCCTCACTGAAGAAAAGCCCAAAATACAACCAATCAGAGCCAGGAGGCGGGGCTTAGTGCTGTCAATCATTCTCGTGCAAGTGCTGTTAATGGCAGAGAAATAACTTAGACACGAAAACGTTTATCCGCCTTCATCAGTGGCAATGCTAACTAGCATTAGCATTCATGATGATTGTAACCCTAACCCCAAGGGGGAGGTGTAGGGTGATTGACAGCACTAAGACCCGCCCCCAGGCTACGATTGGTTGTTTCTTGGCGCTGGCAGAAGGAAGGAGATTAATATTTACACAGATTGTCTCATAACAAACTGTTACAACAAATATGTAAAAAAATATTTTTAAGAAAGTACTGCAGCTTTAAGAGCCGTTCTGGTTCTGGTTCTGCTTGGACCTGGATCCGGAGGTCACAGCTGGTCTTTCGTCTCAGTGATGCTGACAGGACAGAATGAGCTTAAATGCAGGTGGATCCAGTGACATCACTTCCTGTTTACCCCAGCAGGCTAACGTTAGCTAGCTGCTTGTTTTCTGCTCAGAGCTTCTGCTGCACGACGGCGGCGCTGGTTCCCTCCCTCTGTCCGCCGTTCCCCGTGTCCCCTTGCCGCCCAGCCGGCCCTCATGTCTCCGTCTGTCCCTGCAGGTGCTGGAGGCCTGGAAGAACCTCCTGGAGGCGGCGGAGGCCCGGCGCTCCAAGCTGCTGGACACGGCCGATAAGTTCCGGTTCTTCAGCATGGTGCGGGACCTGATGCTGTGGATGGACGACGTCATCCGGCTCATCGAGGCCCAGGAGAAACCCAGGTAGGAGCCGCTCCGCCCAGGGGCACGTGGCCGGACCGGGCGACCTCTGACCTCTGCCGCCGCGCCCGCAGGGACGTGTCATCGGTGGAGCTGCTGATGAACAACCACCAGGGCATCAAGGCGGAGATCGACGCCCGAAACGACAGCTTCACGGGCCTGCATCGAGCTGGGCAAGGCGCTGCTGGCCCGGAAGCACTACGCTGCAGAGGAGGTAGGCAGCGCCACCCGCTGGACAGCGGAGTGGGCGGGCAGCGCCACCTGCTGGGCAGCGCCACCTGCTGGACAGCGGAGGGGGTGGGCAGCGCCACCCGCTGGGCAGCGCCACCTGCTGGGCAGCGCCACCTGTAAAACCAAACTTTAGATCAGATTTCAGGTTCAGATCTTTATTTTCTTCCCAGGGAACAAAAATCTAAAGAGCCATTAATGTTTAATTACATTTATGGATCAAAATGACTCCAGATTTAGTGATTTTAATGTAAAACGATTAAAATCACTTCAAAAGACCTGCTATAACAATAGTAGTGATTGACTGAACCCAATCAATCAATCAAGTTTAATTATGAGAAACCAGAGACAAACTTTTAATTTTCATCTAAATCTTCGTTGTGTTGATCAATATTTGATCAATTCTGGCTCTGAACCAGCTGGTGTCTCTGGATTTACAGGATCTCAGTGTTTCGGCTGGTTTTCAGTTTATAGAACCAAAGTTATCCGGGTCAGGACCGGTTCTGTTCTGGGTTCTTGGAACCGTCCTGGATCAGTCTCATGTCTGTCATCTGCAGCTCCCTCTAGTGGCCACAGACGGAGCTGCAGCGTCCATATGGACTCCAGTATGAACCCTGTTTACTGGTTTCTCCTCCAACCAGTACAACCAGTCTGCAGCCAGTAACACTCCAGTAACTGCTGCATTCAGGACCAGAACAGGTTGATTGAACTCAGCAGTTTGTTGGTCTGTGTGGATGACCTTTGACCTCTTCTAAAGCTCAATGCGCTCAGACAGATTAAGCCTGTATGGACGGATTCCCAGTTGTCCCAGTTGTCCCAGTTGCTCACTGTGTTTTCTGCTGCAGATTAAGGAGAAGTTGCTCCAGCTGACGGATAAGAGGAAAGAGATGATCGATAAGTGGGAGGATCGCTGGGAGTGGCTGAGGCTGGGTGAGACGTGCGACCCGTTCCGCCGGTTCCCCCGGCCCGGCCCGGCCCGGTTCTGACCCCCGTTCTGTCCCCAGTGCTGGAGGTGCACCAGTTCTCGCGGGACGCGGGCGTGGCGGAGGCGTGGCTCCTGGGCCAGGAGCCGTACCTGTCCAGCAGGGAGATGGGCCAGAGCGTGGACGAGGTGGAGAAGCTCATCAAACGCCACGAGGCCTTCGAGAAGTCCGCCGCCACCTGGGAGGAACGCTTCGCCGCGCTGGAGAGGCTGACCACGGTGAGGCCCGCCGGACCGGAACCGGACCGCTACCGGACACTCGGGACCAGAACCGGACGCTCTGTCTGCTTCTCTGTCCAGATGGAGTTACTGGAAGTGAGAAGAAGGCAAGAGGAAGAGGAGAGGAAGAGGCAGCCGGCAGAGGCTGCTGAGGCTGCAGCCCAGAGCAGGTGAGGAGGAGGACTGGGAGGACTGGGAGAACTGGGAGGACTGGGAGGACTGGGAGAACTGGGAGAACTGGGAGGACTGGGAGGACTGGGAGGACTGGGAGAACTGGGACTCTTTAACAATGACCCAAATGGTTTGATCAGTGATTGATCTGATTAATTAGAATGAAAATCAGAAGTTTTAATGTTTTATTTGAACAAATAAGAGATTTTAGTTAATTTATTAGAAATCTGTTGAAATGAAAACATTTTTATTCTGAATTTAAAAGCTCCAAGCTGCTGGAGTTTAAAGTTTCTAAAGTATTTTATTTTTCTGTTTTCTTTGTGTTGAATGTCTTTAAAGAAGCAGATAAAATACATTTTATTTATTGTTTTTGTTATAATCTGGACCAGTTTGTTGAAGTCAAACAGATTCAGATGATCTGAAGGAAGCAGGAAATAACTTCATTCATGTAAGCAGCAGCAGTTTCAGTGCTGAAGCTACAAGTTGTTTAGTTTCTAAAGTTCTGATTTCTGAATGTTTTAAACACATTTAAACTTAAACACGTTCAGATTGGAGAGAAATGAAATCAGTTTGTTTCAGTAGAAATGATCACCAAGCTGAAGGGGAACCGCTCCAGTGTGATAATATCTGTGTGTGTGTGTGTGTGTGTGTGTGTGTGTGTGTGTGTGTGTGTGTGTGTGTGTGTGTGTGTGGTGTGTGTGTGTGTGTGTGTGTGGTGTGTGTGTGTTTCTGCAGGGAGGGCGACCCGGTGTCCCAGAACGGGCTGCCGTCCGACCAGGAGTCGCCCCGGGTTAGTTACCGCTCTCCTGCCTACCAGACTTACAGCAGCTCCCTGCAGAGCCGCAGGGCCATCGCAGCTGCTGCAGCCGCTGCAGCGCGGAGTCGGCCTCAGACATGATCACACTCACACACACACACACACACACACACACACACCGCAGTCTGCAGAAACACTCAGCATTCCTCTGTGTCGCCTGGATTTCATTTCTAATGGATCATCTGCTGTCAGCCCAACAGGAAGTGCATCACCTGGCTACTTCCTGCCACAGATCAGAGAAAACTTTCATACAAAACATCCAGATGACAATATTCACTTTATTCACTTTATTTAGGAAGTTATGAATGAATTTTACTGCAGAGCAATCATTCCTTCAATCTACATTTCCATTCCCAGACTCTGTAACTTCAGCTTTAACGTTAGCTCATGTTTTTAGCATTAGCTCATGTTTTTAGCATTAGCTCATGATTTTAGCATTAGCTCATGTTTTTAGCATTAGCTCTTGTTTTTAGCCTTAGCTCTTGTTTTTAGCATTAGCTCGTGTTTTTAGCATTAGCTCATGTTTTTAGCATTAGCTCGTGTTTTTAGCATTAGCTCGTGTTTTTAGCATTAGCTCGTGTTTTTAGCGCTGAGTTTCTCCTTTTGCTGGCTGTCTCTAAGTATTCAAATGTTTTGGGTCCTGTATACTTCCTGGAAACAAATTGCTGCAGTTTTTGTCCTTTAGACTCAACATTCCTGCTTTACTCTGACAAATGTTAAAGGTGCTACCATGTGAACAGTGCGGTGTGAGTGCGACTGTGAGCGTCTGGTTTGGGACCACACACACACACACACACACACACACACACACACACAGCCCTCTTCATCCCTGTCCTCCTCTTCCTCCTGTCTCCCTCAGCTCGACCCGCCCGCCATCCTGTCCCCTCAGCTGCTAATGGCTCTGCTCGTTTACGTCATCATTTACAAACTCACGCTGTGGAACATGAACACCTGAACGCCTCGCAGAACATGAACACCTGAACGCCTCGCAGGGCTCAGCTCACATTCATCCTGACATTATTGATCCAGAAATCCTGCAAAACTAAATGTAGAAAATCAACTAATTATCAGGAAATCTTGTTGTCTTAAATAAAATATATTAAAAGGATTTAGTTCAATTATTTACCTGATAAATCATCAAAATAGACAAATATGTTTAGAATTAAATATAAAATATAATCAATAACTTTTGAAAAGATTAGATCTTAAAATGATGATTTATTACTTTTGTGCTTTTATTTTGAAAGCGGTTCATGGCGTGTTAATCAGCGTCTGCATCGCCACGTCTCTTCATCTTCATCATCCTCTCTAACTAACACGCGTTTCCTCTGAACTGAACCAGAACTCGTCTTTCAGACCGGATTGTTTCATGATGAAGTTCAGGAAACTTTTCCGTCGTCACGTTTCTGATCCTGAAACCACGAATGAAACGATTTCCTGATGAAGGATCTCGCTGGATTTCACTGTGATCTCATCAGTTCTCACCGTTTTCATCCACAGAGATAAATTTGGGGACTGTCCCTTTAAGGGACGTCCAGCTGTTTCTCTGTTTGTTGACAGTGAAGTCAATAATCAACGTTGCTTGTTATGTAATAATATGATGGGATGTTGAGCAGAACCGGATCCTCTAATGAGGTTTTAACGCTTTGAGTGAAACTGATGGAAATGAGCAGATAATTTGTCTCTGCTGCTGTTTCCGTTTCTCTCACATTTATTTATTTATGGACTGAAAAAATCTAAACCAATCAGATTTACATCATTTATGACTAAAAAAGATGAAAACTTTAAACTTTTACTCATTTCTTCACATGTTCATCAATAGATCATCATTTCACACCCGAGTCACTGAGTCCTGTCCTCTGTCCCTCATTGTCCCACTCTGTCCCTCAAAGACCCTCATTGTCCCACTCTGTCCCTCAAAGACCCTCATTGTCCCACTCTGTCCCTCAAAGACCCTCATTGTCCCACTCTGTCCCTCAAAGACCCTCATTGTCCCACTCTGTCCCTCAAAGACCCTCATTGTCCCACTCTGTCCCTCATTGTCCCACTCAGTCCCTCAAAGACCCTCATTGTCCCACTCTGTCCCTCATTGACCCTCATTGTCCCACTCTGTCCCTCATTGTCCCACTCAGTCCCTCATTGTCCCACTCAGTCCCTCATTGACCCACTCTGTCCCTCATTGTCCCACTCTGTCCCTCATTGTCCCACTCAGTCCTTCATTGTCCCACTCTGTCCCTCATTGACCCTCATTGACCCACTCTGTCCCTCATTGACCCTCATTGACCCACTCTGTCCTCATTGTCCCTCATTGTCCCACTCTGTCCCTCATTGTCCCACTCTGTCCCTCATTGACCCTCATTGTCCCTCATTGTCCCACTCTGTCCCTCGGTGTGAGTGGACGGCTGCTCATCTCTGTATTTTCAGTTGTTTTAATTTGCATCATGTCTTTTTGTCCCTTCCTGTGTCTCTCTGTCCGTCCGTCTCCAGACTAACATTCCCAATAAACCCAGTCAGAACCAGTGTCCTCTCTGACCCGTCCTGGTTTGTCTCTCCTCGTGTCTCATCCATGTTTCTGTCTCTGGTTGATTGTTGCTCCATCAGTGGACGCTTCCTCCTCCTGGAGGTCAGAGGTCAACGATGCTTAGCGTTTCAGCTGCAGGTTCAGAGCCCAGTGGTCGGTCCCGGGGTCGGGGCCGGTCCTGGTTCTGGTCCTGGTTCTGGTCCCGGTTCCGGTCCTGGTTCTGGTCCCGGTTCTGGTCCTGGTTCTTTTCTAAACAGTTTCAGTTTGAAATGAAAGAGAAGAACCAACAGATGCTCTTCAGATTTAATGTTCAAATATCTTTGAATTTAATGTTGATCCAGATTAATTCCTGTTTTCCAGCCGTAAAGATAAAAATTCAATAAATTTATTAAGTTATTTTGTTTGACTGATTTTTGGTTCCACAGATTAATGGCAGAAATAAAACGTCAGGAATCAGTTTCTAGATCTTATCAGGTGTCAAACTGAATTCACCTGATATTCTCTGTAAAGCTGCTTGAAACGGTAAAAACTACAGAATTCATGTTTTTATCAAACTCAGAACTTTAAAACCCAGACATTTTATTTTGAAAAGTTTCCAGTGTAGTCAGACTTCCTCAGTCTGATGCAGTTCAGTAAAACGTTTCTGGACCTGGTTCCTGTTGGTTGATGGAGCTCAGGGTCAGGAAACCAGTTCTCCCAGTAAAACCCCCCAGGACCGCTCCAGACCGCCTCCCAAAGCTGCCAGGATCCTGCGGCCTTTGACTGGACCCTAACCTCCGTCTGTGACCGGGTAATGACCTTCGTTTGCAGTGGAGTGGAAACAAACCAATCAGTTCTCACCACAGCTCCCAGTTTCACTTCCAAGCAATTTACTGGTTGATTGTTTGAGATGTTTGGTGTGACCTTCCTCTGCCGCGCCGCCGCTTCTCTAACGCTGAGTGACCTGGTGGTGGCGCCGTCATGCTGTGGGATGCGTTGCAGTGATGCAGCATGAACCAGAGATCAGTGCATGTGACCAGCAGCACAATGAACCGCTGGCTGTGATCAGGTGATGATGAGGATGATGATGAGGATGATGAAGTCCAGATTGAGGCTGGGAACGACGGGACTGATCCGGTTCCGGGTCAGAGGGCATCAGGAAGTCGGTCTGCTGTTGGTTATGATTGTAGGAAGTGATGAAAGTTGGCATCGGCCAATCAGGAGGCGTTTTGGGGAGTCGGTGGTTTTACAGAACAGCAGTGAAACTTTTTCCAATATTCAGATTTATTTTGATCAGTTTTTGGTTTCAGCTGTTGGCCTGAACAGCAGAGGAATAAAGTTTTATTGTTTAGCCATTTTTGTTTTATGTCTGGTTGACTTTAGCGCCTCCTGGTGGTGGAAATTAATAAAACCCATTTAAACATCCTGGATAAACAGTTTAGTATTTTGACCTGCCGTCCATCTGCTAATTGATCAGGATTATTCATTTAAAATGTGACATTTTTCCAGAATAATGATCAGAATTGGTTTCATTAATCCGTTTGAACTTTAACCTAAAGTTTTATGTGTTTGTGACGTTTCTGATCCTCGTTCAGGTTTATTGTCCGTATTTCGGATCTTCCTGATGGATTCTGGCCTCGTGGAGCTGCTAGCATAGCGTCTCTGTTAGCATTAGCATCTGTAGCGTCTTCCCAGCCTGTGATTGTTTTCTGCTCTGCATGTTGAAGCTCTACTGACTGATCTGCAGCTGCTGTGACCTCTGTGACCCCTTTGACCTCTGTGACCTTTCCGCCGCGCTGACCGCCCCCTCTGGTTGCAGGAGAACGTGGACGAGGCGGTGAACGGGGAGCCCAGCCCCGCGGGGTCACCGGGCGCCGGTCGTAAGGCCAAGGCCAGCCAGGCGGCGACGCTGCCGGCGAAGAGCCAGCAGGACGGCGCCACCTGCCTGCTGGAGGCCTTCCTGCACCGCAAACACGAGTGGGAGGGCCACAACAAGAAGGCCTCCAACAGGTGTGAATTGTTTTTAATGGTTTTGTCCTTGGTTTAGGTTTAGTTAATAATGTCCTCCAATAACTAACTACCAAGTCATGTTTTCAAATGTTGTCAACTTTAAACGTTATTTATCCCAAAAACACGTGAAGCTGCAGGACGACTGACTGCTGAGCTCAGCTGGTCCTCTGAGGAAACAGACACATGGAAACTTACAGATTATTTTAATACTCTGGACAGATTCCTAACTGAGGACAAAACTGATTAATAATCTATAAAAGCATCCAGGACTCAAAACATGTTTACTAAACTCTCAACATGTTAAAGCAGCTTTAACATGTTGAGAGTTTAGCAGATAAATATCAACATTTGACCTGAAAAACAACTCAATGTTCCAGGACAAACATTTTCCTGAGAGCCAAGGCGGGATGATGACCCGGGAGTGAAACTGGTTCTGGTTCTGAGCCTGGTTCTGGGTCTGAGCCCGGTTCTGGTTCTGAGCGCGGTACTGGTTCTGAGCCCGGTTTGGTTCTGAGCCCGATTCTGGTTCTGAGCCTGGTTCTGGGTCTGAATCCAGTTCTGGTTCTGAGCCCGATTCTGAGCCCGGTTCTGGGTCTGTCTCCTCAGGTCCTGGCACAACGTGTTCTGTGTGATCAACCAGCAGGAGATGGGTTTCTATAAGGACCAGAAGAGCGCGGCGCAGGGCGTCCCCTACCACAGCGAGATCCCCGTCAGCCTGAAGGAGGCGCTGTGCGAGGTGGCGCTCGACTACAAGAAGAAGAAACACGTCTTCAAACTCAAGTGAGTTTCAGACGGACATTAATGATGATCATCATGAAACTTGTTTGTATCTGTGGTTCAAACAGAACAGTGGAAACAACAAGGTTTGGTTTCATGGCCTGTTAAACAGCCTCTGATTCATGCAGCAGTTATTAAAGATGAAGACAAGCTGAGAAAACATCAGAATGAAACCAATAAACAGGCAGCAGAACCTCCAGGTTTCTAATCTATTAATGGAAGTTTGATCCATAATGAGCCAAACATCAGAGATCAGAATCAATTCAGCTGCACAAGTTACTGAACCGACCAAACGCCTGATGGAGCCGAGACAATAGAGTTCATCACATTCCCTTAAATCTCAGGTTTAATGTTTTCCCTCCGCAGCGAGATGAAAGTCTCTGCATGTGTCCAATCGGTTCCTCCAGGATTTTATGATCTTGTGATATTTTTAGAAATATTTGCAAAGAAATTAGTGATTTTTTTCTTTCAGGGTTCATGTAGAGGAGAAAAGAAAACCAGATGTGACAGAAACATTTTATTCTTCAAGAACTTCATATAAACACATGAAGTCGGGCTGAAGCAGCAGAGGAAACACTGCCACCTGTTGGTGGGAGGAGGCATCACTGAAAGCCCATGTTGCTGAAGTTGCAGTTTATTTTCAATAAACTCACATTTATGCATCAGCATGAAAAATCCAGGGATGATCAGAGGATTGCAAACAGCTGTGAAACAATGTGCTCTGCATGTTCGCTGGATTGGAGATGAAATTTAAATTTGAGATGAATCAGATTCTGTTTTTGCCTGACCATCATGTCTGACGCTCCGCAGGCTCACCGACGGGAACGAGTATCTCTTCCAAGCCAAAGACGACGTGAGTAACAAACTGAAACTCCTCAGGTTTCACTTCCTCCACATCACAGACGCTCATATTTAACTTGTTCCATCCGGAGGAAAATGTTTTTCCTCTGACGGACGGAACCGCTGGGTCGGACCGCCTGGTTCTGGAAAACTGGGAATACTTTTAGTTTTGGTGATTTTCCTCTGGGCTCCATCCTCAGCTCCTCCCACTGATCAGTCATAAAACTGAGACTTGGACTAGGCCAATATTCTGTTGCACATGAACATTGTTTTCCTGCTAGATCAGCTTCTGCACCTCCAACAGAAAACAGTTTCTGTCTGAAGGAGACATGAAACCCACAGGAGACATGAAACCCACAGCGGCGTCTGTCCAGCAGTTTGTTGTTGTCATGATGTTTGTTTGGACTCTGCTGCTGCAGCAGCAAAATGCTGCTGCAGCAGCAGAGTCCTGACCAACACCAGGAACTGGATAATCCACTGGTCTCTGCTGTTTCTTGAACTGGCCTCACTGGCCTCACTGGGCTAACTGGCCTCACTGGCCTCACTGGGCTAACTGGCCTCACTGGGCTAACTGGCCTCACTGGCCTCACTGGCCTCACTGGGCTAACTGGCCTCACTGGGCTAACTGGCCTCACTGGGCTAACTGGCCTCACTACTGGGCTAACTGGGCTCCTCGAGACACTTTAATATCTAGTCACATATCAACCCGGTTCCTGCCGGGTCCAGACTGACCAGATGAGGCCGGGTTGAGTTTCTCCTCACATCTGGAACGAAGCGATCAGTGTCTGTGTGGAGAAAAGAGTTCCTGTGTTTGAGGTACTTCCCTTCTGTCCCCAGGAGGAGATGACCGCCTGGATCTCGGCCATCGCGGCGGCGGGCTCCAGGCCGGAGGTGACGCCCAGCAGCCACAGCACGCCGGCCCCCGCCGCCCGCGCCCAGACGCTGCCGGCCACCGTGGCGGCCTCCACCGCCGAGTCCAGCCCGGGCAAACGGGAGAAAGACAAGGAGAAACGCTTCAGTCTGTTCAGCAAGAAGAAGTAGACGCTCCTGTCCTCTCCTGTCCTCCCGTCCCCCGGCTGTTTGGGGTCGCTCCTCCTCCTCGTTGTCCGTCGTTCATCCAGCCGCCAGTCGGTTTGCTCCGAGCAGCTGCGAAGCTCAGAATGTAGATCTGTCTCTCTAATCCATCCTGATGATGATTCCTAACATGTCCTGATCCCAAACAGCCTTCCTCCTCCTCCTCCTCCTCATCTTCCTCTCAAAGCGTGACTCCAGCATGCAGCTCCGAGCCAAAACTCTCCACTCTGTGCCTCTCAACCGTCCGGTGGCTCAGAGTTCCCGCTCGGCGGGAACCTTCGCTAGGAGGGACAGAACCACCGCTGGCGTGTCCGGCTGCTGCTGTCCTACGGACGCGGTCACCGCCTGGAGGAATCCCGCTCCGTTTTCCTTCCTGCTGTCTCTCGTCGTCCAGCTTCTCGTGTTTCCGCTCCCGGTTCTCCTGGACGCTGTCGCTCGCGCCGGTCTGGCTCCATCCTCAGCCGTTTCTGCGACGCCTTGTCTTTGCAAGATGCCGTGTTTCCCTGTGTGGAGGGGAACCTGGAGCAGGGCGGGGTCCGCTCCGGATCCGCCTGCTGCTGCTCAGCCTGGGCTAACCGGGCTAACTGGGCTAAAACAGGCTAACTGGGCTAAACCGGGCTAACTGGGTTAACTGAGTCTAAACCAGGCTAACTTGGGTTAACCTGGGCTAACTGGGCTAAACCAGGCTAACTGGGCTAACTGCGGGCTGAGCAGCTGCTCGGGGCCGTCTAATTCCTGCAGCAGCGTGAGCGCCACCTTGCCCTGCTTCATCTGTATGTATAACTTGTGTATAACAAACTGTTTAAATAAACTTGTGTTTAATTTCTTCACTTATTAGTACTAATAATATGACCAACCGTGATAAGCTTCAGTGATTCTGTATGAAGGAGGAAACCGAATGTTTAATCAGTTTTCCAACAATCAGTCGGGTTTTTTTCTACTTTGTTTCTGAAACATTAACCTCTGACCTTTGTTTGGTTTTGTGTCTCAGAGTTAATAAGGTTATTAGTCTGGAGTTTGAAGATGTTCTATAAAGTAACTTTAAGCTGTTCAGTGGATCTTTATGTCTGGAAGTGAATTTGGCTTCAGCTCTCCGTCGTTAAAGTGAAACCTGTGGCGCTTCTACGGAGCTCCATTCATGACAAAAGTCACTCCAACTCATTTAATGTGAACTTGATCAGATGTGGAAAAAGATGCAAATTAAAACGTTTTGTTTGGGATGTGATTTAAAGTCCACATTATACAAGAAAACCGTTAATTTAATAACAATCCAGATTATTTTCTCAGATTTTCATGGTAACCACCATAACACTAATGATTCTTAAAACATGTTTCCAAATGAAGAATGTTCATGTTTGTTAGAAAACTACATTTTGGATTTCTGGCTGATGGTGGGAGAATATTTTTTCTATGAAAAAGACTCTGATCGGAAGAATCTCACAAGGAAGCAGTTCTCCGACCTGCAGGGGGCTTCAGGCAGCGGCTGCTTCAGGCGGCGGCTGCTTCAGGCAACGGCTGCTTTTGGACGGCGGCTGCTTCGGGCGGCGGCGGCTGCTTTCGGGCGGCGGCGGCTGCTTCGGGCGGCGGCGGCTTCAGGCCTGAACAGCTGATTGGCAGCTTTTCCTCTAAAAACTGATCATCAAGAAGAATAAATGTTAGATTTGAATGTTTGGGCCCAAATGTTTGACTTTTGTTTCAGTGATTTCGTCATTAATGGAGTTCCATAGAGCCTGAATAGAGTTGGTGTAATGCAGCAGGAATGAGGCCGAACAGGTCAAAGGTCAATCATTATTGGGGGGGGGAAGCTGCTTCATTTTTTATTATTTTGTGCTAAAATCTGACAGTTTGATAAATAGTGTGCTTTCCTCTGTAACCATAGTAGCCAGATATTTCTTCATTCTGCACAATGCCACGTCGGGGTTGGTGGGCGGGGTCATAGGTCATAGGTGGGTGTGATGCGGGTCACTGCTAGTTGGATCTGCACCGTAGATTTCTCCCCGTCTGTTACATCTGTGCAAAAAGCCATTAAAAGCTTTTAAAACAAATCGACTCCGTTTGGTTCCTGTTGCAAACCGTCGGGTCAAACGACCTTGACCTCAGAACCTCCTGACCTCAGAACCTCCTGACCTCAGAACCTCCAGACCTCAGAACCTCCTGACCTCAGAACCTCCTGAACAACCAGACAGCTGACTGCTGGAACGGCCTAGTCAAAGTCCAAAGCTGAACCTGATAGAAATTCTCATTAAAGTTGTTTTTTTCTATTTTTCAACCCAAATGTTTACATTAAATAGAAAACACAAACGACAACTTGAGAGAATTTATTATTACATCAAAGCAGGAAGAAATAATTTATTTATCTGAAACATCAGCAGATGGTTTTTAGTAAATTCAGATCAAACATTAAAAGTTTAATTTGTTTTTGATCAAATAAAAGTCATAAAATCAAAAGATTTTTTATATTTCAAACCATCAAATATTAAAAACAGATGATTTGTCATCAGACTGATAATGAAAACAGGATGAAATGATTTTAATTGATTGAATATTTTTCATGCTTCGCCTCTTCCTCTGCTCGGCGCGGCGGACAGCGCCTCCTGCCGGCCACCGGCACAAGAAACTCCTACTCCCATGATGCATTGCGTCCTGCTGTTCAGTCTGCGCGCTCGCAGGGTCAGATTGCAGCCACAATCTGACCTTCAAAGTAAAAGCTCGTCAGTTAACGTAAAGCATCAATTGAATCCGAACCTTCAGCCAGGGGTCGGTTCCGGTTCTGGTCAGGTTGATAATGATTCTTTTGTTCTTTTTCACATCTAATGAACTGTTCATGTGACAAGTAGAACCTGGAAAAGACCAAATGTTGAAAGAATTTTATTAAAGAACAGAAAAGCTCCGGACTTTGACTAGACCAATTCAAAGCGTTAATGTTTGGACTTCCTGGTTGATCATGACTGAATGTTTCCCTTCAGGATGTTCTGTTACAAACCAGAACTCAAATGCGATTCATCAGAACCTGAAGCAGCCCAGTGGCCCACATCACCACTCTGCCACCACCATGTCTGACTGCAGGTTAAATGTTCTGGTTCTGAACGTTGTATCAGAAAATCCGTCTCTCTTCAGTACAGTGGATGTTTCTTCAGCCTCTCCTGGTTTTTATTTTTCTCTTCCACCTTCAGTTTAGGATGTTTGAAATGAAACTAATTAATCAGATAAATTATTGAGTTGGAAACTTTTTAGATCTTAATAAATAAAATTAAAATCAGACTAATTTATTTAATCTATTGTATTTAAACGTAGTTTGGTTAAGTAAAACATTTAAATGTATTACCATTTTCAGAAGTACCTTATTTCCCGGACTATAAGCCGCAACTTTTCTCCCACGGTTTGAACCACGAGGCTCATTTTTCTTCAACCGCCAGGGGGAGCTCTAGCAGGAAAAGAATCATTGAGAGTCAAAACTCGAAATCAAAGAAGAAAGCGCCGATTTTCATTCAGAACGAGCAACAACTTTATCCAAATTTATCATGGAAAACAGAAATTCATAAGATTCAGGTTTTAATCTGCACGGCCTGAAGGCGAGATTCATTCAGTACGCAGCGGCTCATAGATATAGAGATATAGATATATGGAGATATAGATATAGAGATATAGAGATATAGATATAGAGAGATATAGAGATATAGATATCCATAGATATAGATATATGTACGTATCCAGTTTTTTTTTTAACTTTGCAGATGCGGCTTGTATGATGTGCGCTCTATAGTCCTGAAAATACGGTAATAAATAACTGACACCGAAATAATTTACTGTTAGAAAATGTATGTTTTTTTGTTTTTTTTCTTTTAGAAGTTTATTTTAAAAATAGCTGCATGTGATTCCAGAAAATGGTTCAATAAATACATTTAATTATTATTTAAAAAAAACCCTCCAAATAATTTTTTAAACTAATTTATAAATTCTTGGATTAATTAGATGTTTATTTATTTGTTGTTTTTCTGGTGAAGCTTCGGGATTTTTCATTTTATTTTATTTTATTGTTTTATTTTTATGTGCGCGCGGGCGTGCCTCTGAAGGCGCGTGCCCGTCACCGTGCCATCTCCATCAGTTGCTCAGGGAGGTCTCCACCGGACCAGAACCCTCCGGTCCGGATCCGAGCTGCGGTCCGGCTGCGGCTCTAAGGGCGCGGCAGCAGCGGGGCGATGCGCTCCTCTGGCCGGGAACCAGCGCGCATCCCCGGGGGCTGCGCTGCTCCTCAGCCCGCTCAGCGCGCTCCATCTGCGGGGATTGAACGCCTGTCTTTGCCGCTGCCGGAGCTCCGGCGGTTCCCTGGCGGCCAGCCGCCGCCTCCGCTGCTCCGCGGGTGATTCGGTCCTCCGGTTCCCCGGCGGGGAGGATGTGATCCGGGAGGCGGAGCGCCGCTGGGGGAGAGGATGAGGATTATCCCGCAGTGGGATTATATTCCAGGATCAGGAAACAGGAAAATTCCTCAGATTCGGGGAAAAGTTGATTTGATGAAGAGGAGGAGGATGAAGATGATCCTCCAGAACTTCCTCTGGCTTCACATCAGAACTTTGACTGTTTCCGTCCCGAACCTGACCCGTTTACCAGGACTGGAGCCAGACTGGACCTCGGTTCTGGTTCCGACACGATCCGCTTCCTGCTCTGAACTTTAATCTGATTTAACAGAAACATGATGGAGAATCAGAGGAAACTTTCTCACTAGAACCAGAACCGGAACCAGTACCATCCTCAGTGATACAGCTCTTCATCCGGCCCGGATCCAGAACCGGAACCAGAACCATCCTCAGTGATACAGCTCTTCATCCGGCCCGGATCCAGAACCGGAACCAGAACCAGAACCAGGCATGTCGGAGCGCAGCGCCCCGGGCTGCCGCCTCAGACTGGACTGGGTCTACGGGTACCGGGGCCACCAGTGCCGGAACAACCTGTTCTACACGGCCGGGAAGGAGCTGGTCTACTTCGTGGCCGGAGTGGGCGTGGTCTACAACAGCCGCGAGCACAGCCAGCGGTTCTACCTGGGCCACAGCGATGACATCATCAGGTAGGGACTCACCTGGACCGGAACCGTCACGAGACTGGGTTTCATCCAGGAGGCCTCTTACAAAGTGAATATTGATTATTGATCCCGCAGATGAATCAGTTTCTGTTTCTGATCAGATTTAAGACAAAATTAAATTACAAATAACTTTTCCGATAAAATAGTTTGTTTTATCAATAATTTGGATTAAAAAGTTTCACTGACAACATTTTGCTTAATTTAACTTATTGATGCAAATAGAAACTAGAGTTAAGTTACTAAGATTTTGTGTTTTTACAGTGAAAGCAATAAATCAGTTAATCTGATCAATTGAAAGTCAATAATTTACACTTTATGATTGATTATTTTTCTCTTTGATGATGAAATTCTTTAGTTTCCACATCTTCATAATTCATTTTATCTGTTGTTGATTTTGGACATTTAAAATGTTAAATGTTTGTTAGAATTTAAAGTTTATTGATCTTTCAGAAAATGTTTAAAATGTGTCAAAACAACAACATTATCGTTTATGGTGTGTGTGTTTCATCTCATTATAAATATGAACTTTATTCGTGAATAAAACTCATCAGAGCTTCATGCGAAAAGATTTCAGCAGAAAAATTTTTTTCATCAGAATGAAAAATGAAAACAGTTTAAAAATAAAATGATGAATAAGAAACGACTTTATGAGGAGAATCTGCTTCCTGAGATTTACATGTTTCTTATTTATATTGGTAAAAATTCAGTGTGTGTGTGTGTGTGTGTGTGTGTGTGTGTGTGTGTGTGTGTGTGTGTGTGTGTGTGTGTGTGTGTGTGTGTGTGTGTGTGACAGCAATGTTCAATGTTTCCTTCCACAAACTGGTTTTGCTAATTATTTAGAAAACTTGAATTAAATTTATTTTATTCCTGAATTTTTTTCAGATTCAGAGTAAATTTGATGGATTTTGATTCTGAAGTTCAGAAAAATGTTGAGCAGAAAAATAGCAGAGATTTTCTAGAGGAGGCTGATTCATGAAAACACACACACACGCACACACACACACACACTGAAAACACACACACACACACACACCTGGTGTTCAGGCTGTGAGTCATCACAGCAGCGGCTCAGACTGTTTTCTCTACTGCAGCCTGGGGTGTGTGTCAGTGTGTGTGTGTGCGTGTGTCAGTGTGTGTGTGTGTCAGTGTGTGTGTGTGTCAGTGTGTGTGTGTGTGCGTGTGTCAGTGTGTGTGTGTCAGTGTGTGTGTGTGTGTGCGTGTGTCAGTGTGTGTGTGTCAGTGTGTGTGTGTGTGTCAGTGTGTGTGTGTGTGTGTTTCAGTGTGTGTGTGTGTGTGTCAGTGTGTGTGTGTGTGTGTGTGTGTCAGTGTGTGTGTGTGTGTCAGTGTGTGTCAGTGTGTGTGTGTGTGTCAGTGTGTGTGTGTGTGTGTGTGTGTGTCAGTGTGTGTGTGTGTGTGTGTCAGTGTGTGTGTGTGTGTGTGTGTCAGTTTGTGTGTGTTTCAGTGTGTGTGTGTGTGTGTTTCAGTGTGTGTGTGTGTGTGTGTGTGTGTCAGTGTGTGTGTGTGTGTGTGTCAGTGTGTGTGTCAG